ACGGTATTCTTGTATATATAAGACCGGTAAGAAGTGACGGCAACAATGTAATGTAATGTGTAATTGAAGTGCTGACAGAGATAGATACGGACTGTTGAGTCGAGCACGTGAGACGTTCGTTGTGAATTATAGCGTTTGTTTTAGCGCGACTGTGGAAATTAAGTGTATTCAGAAAGAATAAACCAGTTTTATTTAAGAAAGGACTTGTATCGCTGAAGTTTCTTCGGAAAGAATTTTTACGGAAAATTAACTAACGACCAGAAACGTAACAGTATCCTATTGTTTGGCGGATTCTTTTGGATCAATTAGTAAAAATAATACCAAATCCAGTCCACTTAACAATAAATAATTAACTCATTTCTTCAACAACATTTGTTACAGTACAGATTAGATTCATTTGTAGGCCTAATTTCACAAACAATGTTTCCGAGACTAATGTACATATCTCCAACTTACTCGCAGAACTTCCTCGCTAATCGATCGATAACAAACACACTGACTGACTAATTTACTGACAAGAAGATGTACTAACTATCATTGTTTATCTGAATATCTCATGAACTCACTTTTTCACTTTCCTGAATAACTGACTCACTAACTTGCATTTATATCATTACTCATTTCATACTTATTACAGGAAGCTTCTAGATCATGACGTAATGACTAGTTTCCTCTAGCCAACAAACATCTAAATTAATATATCAAAAATACAGCTTCTAACAATATGTAAAATTGTTATTATTAAATATTCATAGTTTTTCTTATTTTTTATACGTTGCTTTAGTTATAATAGTAAACACAAATATTATGGTTTTCTTAGTTATGAACATTCTTTACTTGTCACATATAGAAACATGTATTATTCATTATTAATTGTATAGCATGCACGCAACTTATTAACCATATGTATTCAATATTAACACATGAGATGGGACATAAAAAAAATAAATATATTGTTAAGTACAAGAAACAGCGTGAACATCTATCTTTTCTAGAGGTGAAATACAAGACTAAAGAGCCTCGGCAAGGTAAAAAGAGATTCTCGGAACTCTGTGGAGCTCCTAGTTGGAGGCTATATTTTAGAACTGTAGACGTTTGTACTATTTGCCCAGTGGGAAATTATGACTTAGGCCTGAAAATAAAATACCTCATAAAGTTGCTACTTGATATACAGTCCCAATAAGTCAATTGACTAGATGACTCCTAGTTGCAAACAACGAGTAATAGAAATGAGTGTCAATACTTCGGTATTCTCTTTTATCTACTTTTGAAGTAGAAGGATGGGTCCCCACAAGGTTATAGTTAATGAAGTCACAAAGAAGGATGTCTACCCACTATTGCGAATTGAGTCAATTCTGGAAGGTTTATCCAGTTCAAAATAGTTTGTTACAACTAATCTAAAAAATGGATGCAAGCAAAAACATGTCAACGAAGCAGGCCGAAAAAATATATCAGTTACTGGAGGAAATAGGTTGTGGCAATTTGGTTTACAACCATTTTGTGCAGTACGAGCAGTGTTATCACAAGAACAGCATCAGAAAGCACCCGATCACTTATTACACCAAGGCAATGAATTTTGAAGAAAGAAGATATTGTATAATTCGAAAGGAGCTACTAAGTATTGTGCACGACCTGAGCCACTTCCACCACAATATTAAAATTGAAATAACTGATGAATGCTTGCAATCCAGAAGACCAGACAGCAAGATAGCTTCAGAAATGTCAGAAGTATAACTTTAATATCACACACATCATATTGGATGGAACCACACAAATGCTGATGCTTTATCATAAATACCTTATATTAGCAAGGAATATAAACATTTTGAGAAGGCAACACACTTAAAGTAACAGAACAGAATCCAAGATGAAACATCCACAGATGATGATGAAGAACTAACATAGCCCAATACCCAACAGAAAGTGATGCTCAAAACGAAGATAGGGGTATTAAACTGATTATTCGCTGACTTAAGAACGGGACAAAACGACCCTCATGGCAGACAGTGACTTAATACATCCTATGATGAGCTTTGTTATGTTAAAAATGGGAAGGTACCTCTGATGGACTACAAATAATACTAGATTGGTTAGGGAAAGAGAATCTTAAGCTGAATTGTTAAACAGATTTTGAAAAGAACCTTATGCTGTAGTTGAAAGAATCAATAATGAGGCTCATAGAATACAAAAGGACAGGGGAGTCAAACCAAAGATCATCGACCATGATCATTTTCGGAATTGTCGTACTATCAAGGCAACTAATTTGCGTTTTGGTATTGTTGCGTCAGCGAGGTCACATGACTAGTGTCACGTCACGTTTCTAGAACTATTCTGTACCTTGG